AAAAAAAAATCTCCCAAAAAAACAAGAGTCCAGGGCTGGATGGCTTCCCAGGGGAATTCTACCAAACATTTAAAGAAGAATTAATACCTATTCTTCTGAACCTGTTTCAAAAAGTAGAAATAGAAGGCAAACTTCAAAACTCTTTCGGCAAGACCAGCATTACTTTGATCTCAAAACCAGACAAAGACCCCATCAAAAAGGAGAATTACAGACCAACATCCCTGATGAACATGGATGTAAAAATTCTCACCAAAATACTAGCCAATAGGATCCAACAGTACATTAAAAGGACTATTCACCACAACCAAGTGGGATTTATTAGTGGGCTGCAAGAGTAGTTCAATATCCGCAAATCAATGTGATACACTATATTAATAAAAGAAAGGACAAAAATCATATGATCCTCTGAATAGATGCAGAAAAAGCATTTGACAAAGCACAGTATCCTTTCTTGATTAAAACTCTTCACAGTGTAGGGATAGAGGGAACATATCTAAAAGCCATCTACAAAAAGCCCACAGCAAATACCATTCTCAATGGGAAAAAACTGAGAGCTTTTCCCCTAAGGTCAGGAACACGGCAAGGATGTCCACTATTACCACTGTTGTTCATCACAGTACTAGAAGTCCTAGCCTCAGCAATCAGACAAGAAGAAGAAATAAAAGGCATCTGAACTGGCAAAGAAGTCAAACTCTCACTTTTCACAGATGACATGAAACTCTATGTGTAAAACCCAAAAGACTCCACCCAAAATTGCTAGAACTCATACAGGAATTCAGCAAAGTGGCAGGATATAAAAACAATGCACAGAAATCAGGTGCTTTTCTATACACTAACAATTAGAAGAAAGAGAAATTAAGGAGTTGATCCCATTTACAACTACACCCAAAACCATAAGATACCTAGGAAAAACCTAATCAAAGAGGCAAAGGATCTGTACTCAGAAAACTATAGAACACTCATGAAAGAAATTGAGGAAGACACAAAGAAATGGAAAAACCTTCCAATCTCATGGATAGGAAGAACAAATATTGTGAAAATGTCTATGCAGCCTAGTGCAATCTATACATTCAATGAGATCCCTATCAAAATACCATCAGCTTTTTTCACAGAGCTGGAACAAATAATCCTAAAATTTGTATGGAACCACAAAAGACCCCAAATAGCCAAAGGAATGTTGAAAAAGAGAACAAAACTGATGGCATCGCAATGCCGGACTTCAAGCTCTATTACAAAGCTGTAATCATCAAGACAGTATGGTAATGGCACAAAAACAGATACACAGATCAATGGAACAGAATAGAGAACCCAGAAATGAACCCTCAACTCTACAGTCAACTAATCTTTGACAAAGCAGGAAAAAATATCCAATCGGAAAAAGACAGTTTCTTCAACAAATGGTGTTAGGAAAACTGGACAGGCACATGCAGAAGAATGAAACTGCACCATTTCTTTAAACCATACACAAAAATAGACTCAAAATGGATGAAAGACCTAACTGCGAGACAGGAATCCATCAAAATCCTAGAGGAGAACATAGGCAGCATACCACCTCACACCAGTCAGAATGGCTAAAATTAACAAGTCAGGAAATGACAGATGTTGGCAGGGATGCGGAGAAAGGGGAACCCTCTTACACAGTTGGTGGAAATGCAAGTGGAAAAGCAGCCACTCTGGAAAACAGTATGGAGGTTCCTCAAAAAGTTGAAAACAGAGATACCCTACAATCCAGCAATGCCCTACTAGGAATTTACCCCAAAGATACAAATGTAGTGATCTGAAAGGCACCTGCACCTCAGTGTTTATAGCAGCAACATCCACAATAGCCAAACTATGGAAAGTGCCCAGATGTCCATTGACAGATGAATGGATAAAGAAGATGTGGTATATGTATACAATGGAATACTACTCAGCCACTAAAAAACATGAAATCTTGCCATTTGCAACGATGTGGATGTAAAGTAGAGGGTATTATGCTAAGTGAAATAAGTCCATCAGAGAAAGACAATTATCATATGATCTCAGTCATATATGGAATTTAAGAAACAAAACAGAGGATCATAGGGGAAGGGAGGGAAAAATAAAACAAGACAAAATCAGAGAGGGAGACAAACCATAAGAGACTCTTAATCATAGGAAATAAACTGAGGATTGCTGGAGGGGAGGGCTGTGGGGGGATGGGTAACTGGGAGATGGACATTAAGGAGGGCATGTGATGTAATGAGCACTGGGTATTATATAAGACTTTTAAATCACTGAACTCTACCTCTGAAACTAATAATACAGTATATGTTAATTAACTGAATTTAAATAGAAAAAGAAATATTTACAAGTGCCTAAAAATACATGAAATGACTAGAGCAAATCTAGCAAAATGTATTCAATGAAACTAGAAAACATGGCTGGGAGAAATGAAAGAAGACATTCCTACCATGGATCAGGAAATTCAATACTATTAAGAAGTCAATTCTTCCAAACGAATTTATAGATTCAACACAATTCCAATCAAAAGTGTACATACTTAACAAGCTAATTATAAACCACATAAGGAAAAGCAAAGGACCTATAATAGAATGATTTTGAAATAAAGTAGGAGTGAACACCATGTGATTTCAAGCTTTATTAGAAAGGTACCGTAACCAGATACTTTAGAATTCTGTCAAATGAGATGTAATGGTCAGTGAAACAGACCACAGTTCAGAAGAAGATCCACACATATATAACCAAATGATTTTTTATGAAGGTGCTAAGGTGAATCAATGAGAGAAAAATGGTTTCCAATAATGAGTATCAATTGAAAATTGAAAATCCATAAGCAAAACAAATAATCAAACAAAACCTACTCAAACCAAAACAAAATAACTAAATCTCTATCCTTAACTTTGTACCACATAAAAAAAATTAACTCAAAATAGTTCTTGACCTACCTATATAACCTAAGGATATAGCACTTTTAGAAGAAAACACAGTAGAAGATCTTTGGGAACTTGGAATAAGCAAAAATTAATTAGGACTCAATAGCAGAATACATGAAAGAAAAAATAAAAACTGGACTGTTCCAAAATTCAAAACTTCTGTTCTTTTAAAGACAATGTCAGGAAAATAAAATAGAATATATAGACTTGAAAGAAAATTTTGGAAAAGACTTATATGTTAAAGGACTTGTTTCTAAAATATATAAAGAGCTCTGGGGTGCCTGATTGGCTATCAGTTGAGCACCTGATTCTTGATTTCAGCTCAGGTCATGATTTCAGAGTCGTGGGATCAAGCTCCATGTCGGGCTTCGTGCTCAGCTTGAGATTCTCTCTCCCACTCCCTTTGCCCCTTCCACTACCCACCTCCCACTCTCTTTCTTCCTAAAATAAATAAATAAATCTTAAAAAAAAACAAAAAACAAACTCTTATAATCCAATATAAATATGGGCTTGCCATTATTTTTACATATAAAAGAATATATTTTTTACATATATATATAACAGATATATGATGTCTATTATGGATACAAACACATAAAAATATGCTATCATTAGACATTAGGAGAAGGCAAATTAAAATGACAATGAGATACCAGTACATACCCTGGAAAACAGCTAAAATTAAAAAGACTGAAAATACCAAGTGCTGACAAAGATGCAGAACCACTGGAACACTCATACGTTGTTACAAGGAATGCAAAATGACACAGTACTTAAAAAAAAATTTGGCAGCTTTTTGTAAAATTTAATCTGTGTCTTCCATATGACCCAATAGTCCCACTCCCAGTTATTTACTCAAGGGAAATGAAAATCTGTCCATACAAAGACCTGTACATGAATGATTCTAACAGTTTTACTCATAATGGCCCAAACTGATAAGATCCCAAATGGCCATTAACTGGTGGAGGGAAAAAAGTTGTTATATATCTATACACTGGAACATTACTCAGATATAAAAATGAAGAAACTAAAGACATATGCAAAACATGGATCAATATTCAAAAGCTTTATGGTAAATGAAAGAAGCCAGACACAAGGCTACATACTCTATGATTCTGTTTTTGGAACATTCAGGAAAATGCAAAACTATAGTTGTAGAAAGTAGATCTGTTGACTGCTGAGGTGCAGAGGGCAGGTGTGAGGGAGATAACTACAAAGGCGTATCAGGAAACTTTTTGGGCAAATGGAAATATTCTTTATCTTGATTGTACTGATGATTTACTCAATGTATTTGTCAAGCCTCATCAAGCTATGTATTTTAAAAGGACAAATTTCACTGAATGTGAATTATACCACAATATACCTCACTTAAAAAATTATCTTATATAAAAAAATTTCAGAATTGGAAAGGAGTAACACTCATTAGCATGTCTAAGTTCTACCATGCTAGTAAAAACAAGAACGTGTGATGAATCTACTTTATATTCACACTGAGATTTAAAAACTCTAACACCTCTACTTTGCACTCTTAGACAAACAGAATATGAGCACATCTATCTCTGTAGGGAACTAGAAACATAATACCAATTAAAAATGATTGACTTAAATAAACATTATTTGTAGCAATTATGTAGCAAAAACCACGGAAAAATCTGATGACAAAGATGAATATATGTATGTCCTTTAAATGAGAACATGTAAAGCATGTTATATTCCCTCATCAAAGTGTACCCATATACTGGAAAAGATCAATATATGCAAAGATATAATAGTGTCCATTATATCATTGTTTACTTTGAATATGTCTGAATTTTTCAATATCAGAGTTAAAGAATTAAATGGCAAAGACATGTTACAGTATGCAAATAAGCTGCTTAAATAAAAGCATTAAAATACGTTAAATAATTTGTATCAAGAGAAACATATGCTGTCCCAGCAATGAGTACCTTGGCAATAGCAGTTTGTTTAAACATGCGGGTAATCAACCCCATGACAGTCTCGGTGGCACCTGAATTTGGAGCTCTCATTAATTTTTCCCACTCTTCAAAGCTGGTATTCAATTCCTATGTGGGAGAAAATAACAATGCTTAGAAATATGGCATAAAGAACAGAACAGTCAAGCATCTGACTCCTGATTTCAGCTCAGGTCACGATCTCAGGGTTATGAGATAAAGCTCCAAGTCAGGCTCGGCACTCAGTGGGAAGTCAGCTTGGGATTCTTTCCCTCTCCTTTTACCTGCCCCTCTGCTCCTCCCCCAGTTCGTGCTATCTCTCAACTAACTAACTAAATTAATTAATTAAATCTTAAAAAAAAAAAGAACAGAAGAACAATTAATGCAATAATTTATTTTGTCCTACTTGTTTTCTTTTTTCTTTGTAAAGATATGAAAACAAATTCCCAAAGATACCAATGTGTTCATTGAAAAACATCAATATGGAGATAGGTCAGTCACATGTTCACACAAAAGACAGAAACCAATGAAAAGCTGTGGGTGAAAGCCAAGCCCTTTGCTAACATCGTAAATCAAACAATTAGAGCTTCCCCTTAAGAAAAAACATTTTGTGGGGTGCCTCGGTGGCTCAGACTTGGTTAAGCATCTGCCTTCGGCTCAGGTCATGATCCCAGGGTCCTGGGATTGAGCCCTGCATCGGGCAGCCTGCTTCTTCCTCTCCCTCTGCCTGCTGCTTCCCCTGCTTGTACACTCTTGCTGTCAAAAATAAATAAAATCTTTAAAAAAAAAAAAAGAAAAAACATTTTGTAAAGTAAAAATAAAAATTTACATACATAAGAAAGGAAACAGTGAAAATGTGTATGATAGCAAAGTATTTTCATAACAAGATATGATTTCATTTAAATAAGCATGAGGAATATTAGCTAAATAAAAATATGATGTAATCATATACTGAGTCTTTTATTTTTCTTTCTAATGCTAAAATGGTGGATAAAGAAAATCATTATTCCTATTTTACCAATAACATATTGCCAATGTTTATAAAATGTCTCCTCAATCTTTCAAGATAAAACAATGCAATAAATAGTCTTTGTCAACAAAGTCCTGTCCAGATTTAAAGAAATTTCAGGGAAAATATAAGCACTGTATTCCCTAAAAGTATATGTAGATAAGGATTAGGTAAAATACAATTTGACTTTCTAATATATAGACCTTCACCTCTTCCAACATGATCATAGAGTTTTCAGATCTCAAGAAGAAGGCTATATCCAAGTTATTCTAGAAGACAGCTCATACTTCAAAAAAATTCTAGAGCAAGAAACACAACTTCGCATCCTAATTATTGGGCTTTACACCCTACAGGTATTTAGAATTCTTAATAGTAAATCTTCATTGCAGTTCAAGTGCTTTCATTCTATATTGAGCAGAAGTATTTTTTCTAAATCAGTAGGATACTGAATCTTTTCACATTTGATGACTAAAGTTAAATTCTTCCTGTTCTCGTCTTGAAATGATACAAAGCCAATCCATATGTTCTATTAATTAATCCTATTTTAAGAAAACAGACTTTACCTTCTATGAAAAATCAGTATGTGCAATCTTTCATTAAAATGACTTAAAGTAAGACTTCGAATGAAACAAGCATTCTCACCTTGGCAGCTGCTGATGGAAGATCAAAGGGAATACGCTGTCTGACTTTAGGGGGCAGCTGGGTTAAAACGTCAGTCTTCAATCTTCTGATCATTATGTCACTTAACAGCTGATGAAGTTCATTCAAATTTGATGCCCCTCTACAATCCCACTGAGGCCTTTTACCAAAAAATCTGTTAATATGAAGAAAAACCATGTAGCAAAGCTGAATGTTAGGAATGAAAAAAATCCAGTGTTTTCCTTTTAATGATAAGGAGCCATCACATTGTTTTTGCTGTTACTTCTGAATGCAAATCAGTTTCCAAAAGCTCAGCCTGAGAAAGAGTAATGAGTAAGATTACAAATTACTCTCAGTCATAGAAAATGTTAATTGTCTAACATACTGTTTACGATGAGTTAATGCAAGGTTAGAATGAACTGATAACTCTAAGTACCATTGGCATTTTGGGCGGGCTCAGAAATGGCAATGTGCTTAGCAGATCTAGTCCCAACTAGGCACTAACTGCCAGGACACCAGCTAGTCTACATAATAGCCAAACTACCTAAAATATTTGCCCTATCCTCTAAGAGGAACTATCTCCCACTGAGCTGTTAGGCATAGCAGATTCATCAGTTGGTGATCACTTGGCCTTTGAAAACACTGGACAGACAGTAAAGGAATTAAAAAAAAAAAAAGGACAGAAACTCACTATGAAAGAGAGAATGGGAAAGAAAACATAGGATAAAAAATTTCAACAAATGTTTAGAAGTCAATGCTGACAGATAAGTGATAGCTGACTTGGCAAAAGAAAAGAAGCCACAATGTAAAATGCTTGCAAAAGTTAGTATGTCCTCTAGACCTTTGAGAAGATTGGGAGTTGGAAGCACCAAGCACTGACGGCAGGTATAAAGACAAGGGTTGGAATCTACTGGCCTACTAATATCCCCCTAACATTGTGACAACCCAAAAACTACTCACAAAATTCCCAATCATTTTCTAGGGGCCCATGCTATTGAAGCTAGCTGGTGGAGAATAATTAACAGGAAAACTCTTATTAGGTTGTAACATGATTACTGATATTAATAATCAAATGACTATCCATTTTAATGGGATTTGTGTGATATCTTAGCATAATAGTGTCAATTTGAGAAATTTGAAACTTGTTAACATTAATTTTTTTAATTAAACATATTTTGATAACAAACACACAAGAATAGTACAGACAACATTAAAAACATGCACTTGGGGGCACCTGGGTGCCTTAGTCAGTTAAGAGTCTGCTTTCAGCTCAGGCCATGATCCCAGGGTCCTGGGATTGACCCTCACATTGGGCTCCCTGCTCAGTGGGGAGTCTGCTTCTCTCTCTCTCTCTGCCTTTCCCCCTCCAGCTTGCACTCTCTCTGTCAGTCTCAAATAAATAAATGAAATTAAAAAAAAACAACCATGCACTTGCATGTAGAATCAATTAGAAAAGTTGAGTGAACAGATCCAACTACTGTCTGATAAAATGATAGACACTGCTCAGTTGTGATCAAAAATAAATTCAATTCTTGTTTAAAAAAAAGCGAAGTGCTGGGGCGCCTGGGTGGCTCAGTAGTTAAGCGTCTGCCTTCGGCTCAGGTCATGATCCCAGGGTCCTGGAATCGAGCCCCGCATCGGGCTCCCTGCTCTGCGGGTAGCCTGCTTCTCCCTCTCCGACTCCCCTTGCTTGTGTTCCCTCTCTGGCTGTGTCTCTCTGTCAAATAAATAAATAAAATCTTAAAAAAAAAAAAGCTAAGTGCTGGCATTGTAAAAAAAGATTTACTAGATTTATTTATATTTGCCATAAATTATATTACAGAGTTGAATTCCTTTAATGTTTTTTTTTTTTAAAGATTTTATTTATTTATTTGACAGAGACATAGCGAGAGAGGGAACACAAGCAGGGGGAGTGGGAGAGGGAGAAGCAGGCTCCACGCAGAGCAGGGAGCCCGATGTGGGACTCGATCCCAGGACCCTGGGATCATGACCTGAGCCGAAGGCAGTCGCTTAACTGACTGAGCCACCCAGGCGCCCAAAAATGGAAAAATAACTTGCCAATACACAATTATGTCACCATTTTGTCCATTCACAATCATATACTTAGGTTCATTTTGACCTTATGGTAAAAAAAAAAAAAAATCTAACGTTCAGAACTACCAATGATGGGAAAAAGGGGTTGGATCTTTTGTTTTTTTGTGAATGAAACGTTTACAATTAAAGTGAATTATTTAGCACACTCTCCACCTATGCAATACATTCTGCAGGAATACAACGTGCTAGGTGCAAGCCTTCTGGCACAATTGTTCCACACAGATGTCTTCAGACAGGCCAACCACACAGGCTGCACTGGCCTCCTTCAGAGCACCAATATTTGTGCTCTGAAAGGGCATGTCTGTTTAGAAGTCAGAGCAATCTAATTTCAGATGCCACTGTACTTGTAACAGGCTTGTGACAAAAAGGTTATTTCACTCCTCCAGGAGAGGATGAACTACTGAAAGAAGCTTTTGTAGCCAGTTGCCTCCTGGGTGCTTTACCACTGATTGATTGCAAGCCCTATGCTTGGTATGAGCCATGGTTTAGAGAAATCCTTTCTCCCAACACCCTTCTCTTTAGGCTGGAGTCAGAGTGCAGGTTGCAATGACCCTAAAGAATACTGGCAGGGGACACCTGGGTGGCTCAGTTGGTTGGGCGTCTGCCTTCAGCTCGGGTCATGATCCCAGGGTCCTGGGATCAAGTCCCGCATCGGGCCCCTTGCTCACAGGGGAGTCTGCTTCTCCCTCTGCCTGTCCCTTCCCCTGCTTGTGCTCTCTCTCTCTCTCTGAGAAATAAAATCTTAAAAAAACTAAAAAAAAAAAAAAAAGTACTGGCAGGACAATATGCTGCTGAATCTCCTGCTTCAAGTTTGGAGTGCAAAGGGGAAATGAGATGGGGAGGGAAGGTTAAAAGAAATGCCACCTATAAATGTCTGGTCCCTTCCTGATAAATTTGATGATAACTATATATACTTTTGGAGTAGCCTATTCTTTTATTTAAGCAGCTTTATTGAGATGTAATTCATAATGCCATAAAATTCACCCACTTAAAGTATACAATTCAATGGTTTCTCATATACTCTCAGATATGTGCAACCATCACCACAGTAAATGTTAGAACGTTTTCAACATCTCAAGAAGGAACCCCATAATCTTTAGCTATCACTCCCTTAATCACTGTCCTGCCTCCCAGCCCCAAGCAACCATTAATCTATTTTCTATCTCAAAAGATTTCCCTAAACTTTCATATACACAGACTCATATAATAGTCTTTTGTGACTATCTCTTCTCACTTTTCTTCTTTCATAGTGTTTTCAAGGTTCACCCATGCTGCAGCATGTATTCATTCTTTTTTAAGGCCAAATAATATTCCATTGTACAGAGAAACCACTATTATTTATCCATTTATCTGTTGACAGACATTTTTGGTTGTTTCCAACTTTTGGCTTTTACAAATAAACTGCTGAAAACATTCATGTACAAGTTTTTGTTTGGACATATATTTTTTTCATTCCTCTTGGGTATATACTTAGGTGTTGAGTAGCAGAGTCATATGGTAATACTACGTTTAATTATTTGAGGAAGTGTCAGATTGTTTTCCAAAGCAGCAGTACCAGTTTACATTCCCACCAGCACTGTTCAAGGATTCCAATTTTTCCAAAGCCTCACCAACACTTGTTATTTGACTTTTTGATTGTAGTCATACTGTTTGATTTGCATTTCCCTGATGTTTAATGATGAGAAACATTTTTTTCATGTGCTTGTTGGCCATTTGCTATCATTTTGGAGAATTGTCTATGCAAATCCTTTGCCCATTTTTGAATTGGGTCGTCTTTTTACTATTGAATTGTATGAGTTCTTTTTTTTATCAAAAAGTTTAATTATGGTTCAGAAAAAATTGAGTGAATAACTTTCTCTGAAAAAATATACTGACTCTGTGTAGACTGCAGTTATTTTGGGAGGGGGCTAGTAAGTTAAACTGCCCTATTTTCTATTCTGAAAATCATAAAAAGTCCCATTTCCAGTCTGATTATAGAGATGCATGTGCCCAAAATGGCTGAGACTAAATACAACAAGAAAGGCAAAAGCTGCAAAGCTAAGGGCATGCAACAGACTCTAAGAGAACGTCTCAGAAATACCCAAAGTGGCAACAAGGAACGTCTGGCTGGAATTTGAAGTTCTTTTCAGTCATCTCTGTCTTTTGCTCCATGTTTAAGGATGCACGTGAACTCAATATAATTGCAATTTCCCTTTTTGTTGATAGGCGCTTCTCTGTACAGCTCATCCACTTCATCGTCTGTAAACCGATCTCCCATGGTTGTCAGCAGCTCTCTCAGGTAATCTTCCTGGATGGTGCCAGTTGCTTCTTCATCAAAGCAAGCTAAAGCATTTCTGATGACATCTTCGGGATCTGTGCCATTTAACTTTTCACCAAACATAGTGAGAAACATGGTAAAATTTATGGGCCCGGGAGCCGCATTCATCATGGCATCCAGATACTCATCAGTTGGATTTTCCCCTAGGGAGGCAAGCATGTCATGCAAATCTTGTCAATGAAACCATCTCTGTTCTAATCAATCATGTTGAAGGCTTCTTTGAACTCCTGAATCTGTGACTGGTCAAACATGGCGAACATGTTGGATGTTGCGTGCTGGGGGTGCTTCTTGGTAGTCTTGGTCTTTGCCCTTTTGCTCGACATGGTGGCATTTAAATCCCTGCACAGTCGGGAGAATCCGAGCACTTTGGTAACCCCCTCACTGCCCTGGCTGCTACTATCAACACCCTTCTACTCCCAGAGCCCCCTAAAACCAGTACTTCCATCCTCCGCTTAGCAAACCATTAGTCACCATTGTCGGAATTATATGAGTTCTTAACACATTCTAGACATGAGTCACTTATTAAATATATGCTTTCCCTATATTTTCTACCATTCTGTGGGTTGTCTTCATTTTCTTCATGGTGTCCTTTGAAGTACAGAAGTTATTAATCTTGATAAGGTTCAATTTGTCTAGTTGGTATTTTGTTGCTCATGGTTTCAAAGTCATATTTAAGAATCCCTTGCCAAAACCAAGGAATAAATTTACCCCTATGCTTTCTTCTAATAGTTTTATAGTTTCTGGTTTTACATTTAGGTCTTTGATCCATTTTGAGTTGATTTTTGTATATGGAATGAGTTCAAAGTCCAATTTCATTCTTTTGCATATGGCTATCCCCGTACCATTTATTGAAAAGACTATTCTTTTCCCCATTCAATGGTCTTAGTTTCTTGTTAAAAATCAATTAACTGTATATGTATGAGTTTATTTCTGGGCTATTGATTCTCTTGTTGATCTAGATATTTATCCTTGTTACTATGTCCTGATTACATTGTCATGATTACCTTCTAATCAGCAGAGATACTGATAGACTCTTGAGTCTATAGAAAAGTTTAAGGAGTATTGCCACCTTAACAGTGTTGGGTCTTTTTGATATATGAATATGGGATGTTTTTATAGTAATTTAGATCTTAAATTTCTTTAAATGTTTTGTAGCTTTCAGAGTATTAGTTTTACACATCTTTTGTTAAATTTATTCTTAAGTATTTTATTCTTTTTGATGCTATTGTCAACAGAATTAACTTAATTTTCAGATTGTTCATTGCAAGTGTATAGAAATACAATTGATTTTTGTACAATGATATATCCTGCAACAATGCAGAAATCATTTATTAGTTCTAATGGTTTTTTAGTGGATTTCTTAGGATTTTCTATATACAAGATCAAGGCATCTGAAAATAGAGATAGTTTTACTTCTTCCTTTCCAATCTTATTGCAATTATTATTTTATTTTCCTATCTAATTGTTCTGGCTAGCATTTCCAGTACAAAGTTGAATGGAAGTGGCAAGAACAGATAACATTGTCTTAAGGAAAGCATTCAGTCTTTGACCAATTAAGTATGGTGTTAGCTTTAGGTTATTTGTAAATAAATGCCCTTAAACAGGTTGAAAAAAATGGTAATTATATTTTTGATAGTGAAAATTACCCTTACAATGGTTTTTCAGAAATAAAATACCTTCCACTGGCAGATAAAAACTGAGTTGATGTGGTTCAAGCTAATGATAAGAAGGATCTGAACTGAGACTGTAGCTGTGAGAAAGAGTACGGTACACATTCAAGAAAGGTTAAAGCAGTAGAGTCTATAGGATGTGAAAAACGAATGGATATCAACAGTAAGCCACAGGCAACAGTTAAGTTGACTTCTAGGTTTTAACTAACATATGACTGAATCTTAACCAACCAAGATTGAATCCACTGGATGAAGAGCAATTTTCAGGGATGAAGCACAGTTTTTAATATCCTGACTTTTATGTGCTGATGGCATATAGATACACTGAAGATGACTACTAGTTTAACACTGGATGTAGCAGTTTGGAAATCAGGAGAATAGAGTAAGTTGGAGATGTAGATACCACATGAATTTTAGGGTTAAAGCCAGAAAGGTGGTTGAAATTGGTCAGTGACAGAAAAAAAAAAAATGAAAAGGAAAGATGGCCATTTTGTTTATCTTACCCTAGAAAATAGTTCTTTTATTTCCTGTATCAAACTTTTCTCCATATCACTGGCCTCTTTTAATATAAGGAATTGGCATAGCACCACTGGAATTCATGAGTTCTAATGCATGCTGAGATTAAAGAGAGCAAAAAACAGTCCTACAAAATCATTTTTAAAATACACTTATATTCAATAAAGATGCCACAAATATAGACAAATTACCAAAAAGATATACAATAAACCAGTGATAGATGACAGTCACTTGTAAAAACTGTACATGTCAATTTGTTATTTCTTTTTAAGATTTTATTTATTTATTTGACTGACAGAGAGAGAGAGAGATCACAGGCAGAGTGGCAGGCAGAGGGAGAGGGAGAAGCAGGCTCCCCGCTGAGCAGGGAGCCCGATGCGGGGCTCGATCCCAGGACCGTGGGATCATGACCTGAACCGAAGGGTTAGCCTGGTGGTGGGTATTGAGGAGGGCACA